CGACCCGAAAAAAAAACGACAGTGGTACCCCTTACGTTTTTTTTTTTTGGGCGAAAAATTAAGTTTCTCCAATCTTCTCAAAACTCTGGATTCTGATAGAGGGCCATGAGACTTAGACCTGAGTGCAAAAATGGAGGCTCTAGACCCTTCCAGAGCTGAGATATCGAAACTCAAAAATTCGACCCGAAAAAAAAACGACAGTGGTACCCCTTACGTTTTTTTTTTTGGGCGAAAAATTAAGTTTCTCCAATCTTCTCAAAACTCTGGATTCTGATAGAGGGCCATGAGACTTAGACCTGAGTGCAAAAATGGAGGCTCTAGACCCTTCCAGAGCTGAGATATCGAAACTCAAAAATTCGACCCGAAAAAAAAAACGACAGTGGTACCCCTTACGTTTTTTTTTTTGGGCGAAAAATTAAGTTTCTCCAATCTTCTCAAAACTCTGGATTCTGATAGAGGGCCATGAGACTTAGACCTGAGTGCAAAAATGGAGGCTCTAGACCCTTCCAGAGCTGAGATATCGAAACTCAAAAATTCGACCCGAAAAAAAAAACGACAGTGGTACCCCTTACGTTTTTTTTTTTTGGGCGAAAAATTAAGTTTCTCCAATCTTCTCAAAACTCTGGATTCTGATAGAGGGCCATGAGACTTAGACCTGAGTGCAAAAATGGAGGCTCTAGACCCTTCCAGAGCTGAGATATCGAAACTCAAAAATTCGACCCGAAAAAAAAACGACAGTGGTACCCCTTACGTTTTTTTTTTTGGGCGAAAAATTAAGTTTCTCCAATCTTCTCAAAACTCTGGATTCTGATAGAGGGCCATGAGACTTAGACCTGAGTGCAAAAATGGAGGCTCTAGACCCTTCCAGAGCTGAGATATCGAAACTCAAAAATTCGACCCGAAAAAAAAACGACAGTGGTACCCCTTACGTTTTTTTTTTTTGGGCGAAAAATTAAGTTTCTCCAATCTTCTCAAAACTCTGGATTCTGATAGAGGGCCATGAGACTTAGACCTGAGTGCAAAAATGGAGGCTCTAGACCCTTCCAGAGCTGAGATATCGAAACTCAAAAATTCGACCCGAAAAAAAAAACGACAGTGGTACCCCTTACGTTTTTTTTTTTTGGGCGAAAAATTAAGTTTCTCCAATCTTCTCAAAACTCTGGATTCTGATAGAGGGCCATGAGACTTAGACCTGAGTGCAAAAATGGAGGCTCTAGACCCTTCCAGAGCTGAGATATCGAAACTCAAAAATTCGACCCGAAAAAAAAACGACAGTGGTACCCCTTACGTTTTTTTTTTTGGGGCGAAAAATTAAGTTTCTCCAATCTTCTCAAAACTCTGGATTCTGATAGAGGGCCATGAGACTTAGACCTGAGTGCAAAAATGGAGGCTCTAGACCCTTCCAGAGCTGAGATATCGAAACTCAAAAATTCGACCCGAAAAAAAAACGACAGTGGTACCCCTTACGTTTTTTTTTTTGGGCGAAAAATTAAGTTTCTCCAATCTTCTCAAAACTCTGGATTCTGATAGAGGGCCATGAGACTTAGACCTGAGTGCAAAAATGGAGGCTCTAGACCCTTCCAGAGCTGAGATATCGAAACTCAAAAATTCGACCCGAAAAAAAAAACGACAGTGGTACCCCTTACGTTTTTTTTTTTTGGGCGAAAAATTAAGTTTCTCCAATCTTCTCAAAACTCTGGATTCTGATAGAGGGCCATGAGACTTAGACCTGAGTGCAAAAATGGAGGCTCTAGACCCTTCCAGAGCTGAGATATCGAAACTCAAAAATTCGACCCGAAAAAAAAACGACAGTGGTACCCCTTACGTTTTTTTTTTTGGGCGAAAAATTAAGTTTCTCCAATCTTCTCAAAACTCTGGATTCTGATAGAGGGCCATGAGACTTAGACCTGAGTGCAAAAATGGAGGCTCTAGACCCTTCCAGAGCTGAGATATCGAAACTCAAAAATTCGACCCGAAAAAAAAACGACAGTGGTACCCCTTACGTTTTTTTTTTTGGGCGAAAAATTAAGTTTCTCCAATCTTCTCAAAACTCTGGATTCTGATAGAGGGCCATGAGACTTAGACCTGAGTGCAAAAATGGAGGCTCTAGACCCTTCCAGAGCTGAGATATCGAAACTCAAAATTTCGACCCGAAAAAAAAACGACAGTGGTACCCCTTACGTTTTTTTTTTTGGGCGAAAAATTAAGTTTCTCCAATCTTCTCAAAACTCTGGATTCTGATAGAGGGCCATGAGACTTAGACCTGAGTGCAAAAATGGAGGCTCTAGACCCTTCCAGAGCTGAGATATCGAAACTCAAAAATTCGACCCGAAAAAAAAAACGACAGTGGTACCCCTTACGTTTTTTTTTTTTGGGCGAAAAATTAAGTTTCTCCAATCTTCTCAAAACTCTGGATTCTGATAGAGGGCCATGAGACTTAGACCTGAGTGCAAAAATGGAGGCTCTAGACCCTTCCAGAGCTGAGATATCGAAACTCAAAAATTCGACCCGAAAAAAAAACGACAGTGGTACCCCTTACGTTTTTTTTTTTGGGCGAAAAATTAAGTTTCTCCAATCTTCTCAAAACTCTGGATTCTGATAGAGGGCCATGAGACTTAGACCTGAGTGCAAAAATGGAGGCTCTAGCCCCTTCCAGAGCTGAGATATCGAAACTCAAAAATTCGCCCCGAAAAAAAAACGACAGTGTTACCCCTTACGTTTTTTTTTTGGGGCGAAAAATTAAGTTTCTCCAATCTTCCCAAAACTCTGGATTCTGATAGAGGGCCATGAGACTTAGACCTGAGTGCAAAATTGAAGGCTCTAGACCCTTCTAGAGCTGAGATATCGAAACTCAAAAATTCGACCCGAAAAAAAAACGACAGTGGTACCCCTTACGTTTTTTTTTTTGGGCGAAAAATTAAGTTTCTCCAATCTTCCCAAAACTCTGGATTCTGATAGAGGGCCATGAGACTTAGACCTGAGTGCAAAAATGAAGGCTCTAGACCCTTCTAGAGCTGAGATATCGAAACTCAAAAATTCGACCCGAAAAAAAAACCGACAGTGGTACCCCTTACGTTTTTTTTTTTTTGGGCGAAAAATTAAGTTTCTCCAATCTTCTCAAAACTCTGGATTCTGATAGAGGGCCATGAGACTTAGACCTGAGTGCAAAAATGGAGGCTCTAGACCCTTCCAGAGCTGAGATATCGAAACTCAAAAATTCGACCCGAAAAAAAAACGACAGTGGTACCCCTTACGTTTTTTTTTTTTGGGCGAAAAATTAAGTTTCTCCAATCTTCTCAAAACTCTGGATTCTGATAGAGGGCCATGAGACTTAGACCTGAGTGCAAAAATGGAGGCTCTAGACCCTTCCAGAGCTGAGATATCGAAACTCAAAAATTCGACCCGAAAAAAAAAACGACAGTGTTACCCCTTACGTTTTTTTTTGGGCGAAAAATTAAGTTTCTCCAATCTTCTCAAAACTCTGGATTCTGATAGAGGGCCATGAGACTTAGACCTGAGTGCAAAAATGGAGGCTCTAGACCCTTCCAGAGCTGAGATATCGAAACTCAAAAATTCGACCCGAAAAAAAAAACGACAGTGGTACCCCTTACGTTTTTTTTTTTGGGCGAAAAATTAAGTTTCTCCAATCTTCTCAAAACTCTGGATTCTGATAGAGGGCCATGAGACTTAGACCTGAGTGCAAAAATGGAGGCTCTAGACCCTTCCAGAGCTGAGATATCGAAACTCAAAAATTCGACCCCAAAAAAAAACGACAGTGTTACCCCTTACGTTTTTTTGGGTTGGGGCGAAAAAAAAAAGTTTCCCCAATCTTCTCAAAACTCTGGATTCCGATAGAGGGCCATGAGACTTAAACCCGAGTGCAAATATGGAGGCTCTAGACCCTTCCAGAGCTGAGATATAGAAACTCAAAAATTCGACCCGAAAAAAAAAACGACAGTGTTACCCCTTACGTTTTTTTTTTTTTGGGGCAAAAAATTAAGTTTCCCCAATCTTGTCAAAACTCTGGATTCTGATAGAGGGCCATGAGACTTAAACCTGAGTGCAAATATGGAGGCTCTAGACCCTTCCAGAGCTGAGATATTGAGATACTTATAATGGCATTAATGCTACGTGGGATCTCAATATCTCAGCTCTGGAAGGGTCTAGAGCCTCCATTTTTGCACTCAGGTCTAATGGTGCGTTCTATTATTCATTCGTCTCGGAGATCCGAATCGGGCGACAGATGTTGCATAGCAACACCCCCCCTTTCCTCGGATTTCTCCTCTCGGACGTCAGACAACCGTGAGGACACCGAGCAAGAATTCCGTTTCGGAATTCAAGATGGCTGCGCCCTGTGACTTGTAAGAATGAATTGTTTTCATTGTTTTTGAACCGCTTTGGTATTTTAAATGACGATTATAATCACTCGTATTACTGCGTCCCCTGTAGGTATGAGAATTAGTTGTTGTGAGTGCAATTACTAACGTTGCTAGCGTTGCTAATAGAAGGTTAACATGAAAAACGTTAAATAAAGTGAACATTTTCAAGTTCAAATGGCTGCGTTTTGATAAGGTGTAGTCATAATATATATTTTCTTAATGTTAGTGCCTGTTACTCGGCCAGTGCTACAATTATAACAGCTTTCCGTGTGGCGTCCATTTTTTTCTCCGACTCGGACACGCAAAACATAATAGAACGCTTGAAGTGTGGACGTGACGTCAAATCCGAGGTCCGAGACGGTTCGTTGGGTATAATAGAACGCACCATAACTCGCATAAAATCAACATCTTTTTTTTTTAAAATAAAGCAATCATAAAAAAAGTTATAAAAAAATTATTAATGAAAAAAAGTTAACAATTAAAAAATTTGAACCAAAAAATTATCTTCCCAAAAATAAAAGTAGATGATCATTTAACAAAAAAGCATCCAAAAAAAATTTAAAAATCTGGTAAATCCAAAACTTTTAGATCTTGGTTTGAGGAAATGACAAAATCCAACAATTATTATTAATAATTTATTCAAGTGTACAAAGACAGAAATCCAGCAGTAAATGAACTTCAGCACCGCAGAGGAAACATCAATAAAACCACACACTAAAAAGTTGGCAAATGCTTGAACACAATAACACAAACACATAAGTGTAAGAGTGTGTCGCTGATCATCGCGCACTGACTCGCCTCGACACACGACACATCTTTGGCACAAGATTCCATTCCTCCTCTGCAGACGGAGAGACCTTCTTCCGGTCAGCTGACCTCTGTAGCCTGACGACACACACACACACACACACACACACACGTTATCAGTGCGATCATCAGTCATGTGAAGTGTGTGTTCTGCAGGTTCACTCACATGAGCCTCTTCTTGCGTTCTAAAGCTTTCCTGGTGGCGGCCGAGAGGAATCCCTGCGCGTGCTGATCCTGACACACACACAACACACTCTTCATATTCATAATAACTCATATTTAAAAAAATAAGAAGAAGAAGAAGAACACAAAAAAATATTATTTGCTTCCACCAGAAAATTTATAAGTCATACACTTTATTTTATATAAAAAAAAAATCAAAAATCACCCTCTCTTTATTTTAATAACAACAAATACTAAAAAAAAACGTTTTAAAAAAGTTTAAATCACACACACACACAAAAAAAAATTATTTGCTCCCACCAGAAAATGTATAAAAGTCATACGCTTTATTTCATAAAAAAAAACTAAATCAAAAATCACCCTCTCTTTATTTTAATAACAAATATTTAAAAAAAAATTGCAGTTTAGAATGCAGTTTAAATCACACACACAAAAAATATTATTCGCTCCCACCACAAAATTGATAGTCACACACTTTATTTTATTTAAAAAAAATTAAAATCTAATCACCCTCCATTCTCCAAAAAGTAACGAAGAGGATTAGGGCCAAGCTTCAATAAAAAATAAATAAAACCATCTCGAGATTAAAGTCATTATAATGCGAGATTAAACTTGCTACATTTCCAGGAAAAATGTTGAAATCCAATGTTGAGAATAAACTCATTAAATTTCAAGAATAAAGTTGTTGTGGTTCGAGGAAAAAAAAAAAGTTAAATTTGGAGAAAAAATTAATTGAGAATTTTTGTTGTTAAATTTTGAGAAAAAAAAGTGTAAATGAAACGTTGATAATGAAGTGTAAGTGAAGTGTGTTCTGTAAGCAGGGTTCGCTCATGGACCGTTTATGAACGCATGAATAATATCTATATTACAGCCTTTATAGATCATCTCAAATTGATCTCGAAATTCATTCTCGAAATGTACTGAATTTGTTCTCAATTTTATTGTGAGTTTTTTCTCGATATTGAATGCGTTTATTCTCAATATTGTACTTTGATTTATTTTCTGGAAATGTGACGTGTTTAATCTGGCATTATGAGTGTAATCTGGAGATGGCCCTAATCCTCTTCTGTAAAACACCAGTGAATTATAAAAATTAAGAAATTAATTCTAATCAAAAATAGATAAAAGAATATCTAATAAGCCGACAGACGCACCATAGAACAACTAGCCCAACTTATATATAAACTGATAAATATTATAAATACATAGACTTCAAGCTTTATTAAAGACAATAAACACACTGCTAATTTTTCATTTGTTCTTTTAATTAACATCGCAACAAATATGATTGAAATAAACAATATTTTTGAAATAAAAGTGAAATAAAATGAAATAAAAGTGTTTAAGATTTTCAAGTTCAGAAACTGTAATCAAATGTACAATAGCACTACACTTTATTAATAATACATTAATAAAACAGTTATGCAGTGAAGAACGAGTGAATTTTCTTTTAGTCTTCAGTTGTGTGATTAGAGTTATTATAGAGACGGCTGCAGGAATATTAGTGCTGTCCCTTTAAGACTCGCAAAATATAGTTACACACTAATTAATAATTAATTAATATTCATAGCTAGTTACATGTCATACTGAAATGCTCACAAAGGAATTGAAATATTAACTTTATAAGAAGCGGAGTGTGTGTTCTCTGGCTCAGCCTCTCTGTGTGTGTGTGTGTGTGTGTGCTGGAGTTACTCACGTGTGTTCTGATTGGTCGGTCGCGGCTCAGCTCGCGGTCGCAGCGGATCATCAGCATGCGTTCACACACACTCGAGCTGAAGCAGATCTGGTGCAGCTCGTGACGCGCCGCTCGCAGCTGGGGAGAGAGAGAGAGAGTCATGTGGCGTCACGTGACCGTCATGTGACCGTGTTGTGTTCAGAGAGACGTCTGACCTGCAGTGTGACGCGCTCCTGCAACATGAGGTCGAGTCGACCGGCGCCGGCCGTCTGCCGCGGAAACGCCAGCAGGAACATCTGTGTGTCCTGGGAGAAACACACACACACACACACGCGGCTTTACACGCAACCTCGAATCAAAACTCTTCATGGGATTTGTAGATATAATCCAGAAGGAACAACAAAAAACTAAGAAACTCCTCCCCAAAACAATGATGTGTGTGTGTGTGTGTGTGTGTGAGTATTATTGTATCGACAGAAACATGACAGGTAAAAGCGAACATGTGATTGTAAAAGACGCACCTTGATGGTGGTGATGATGCGTGACACACGCTCTGTGCGCAGGAGTCTCCGGGTCAGGAAACCCCTCGCCAGCGCCGGCAGAGACACACACACACAACCCTGCGGAGAGAGAGAGAGATGAGCACCAGTGTGTGTGAGTGAGTGAGTGAATGTGTGTGTGAGAGAAAGTGTGTGCTTGCATGAGTGTGTGTCTGAGCACATGCGTGTATGAGTGAGTGAGTGTGTGTGTGAGAATCAGTGTTGGGTGTAACTAATTACTAAGTAATTAGTTACTGTAATTTAATTACTTTTCCCTTGAAAATGTAAAGTAAGGGATTACTCTGAATTTATCTGTAATTTAATTACAGTTACTTCTGATGTAATTGAGGTAAATAGATCAATCAGATCTCACAGCGATTCGTATGCATTTCATGAGGTGTCTAAATATTACGACCGCACTCGTACAAATTCGTATGAGTTATTGTAAAATATGTATGAAAATGTGTGAGATCAGACATAAAACAATAGTGGGTTTAACATCAAAATGTATTGTCTGATGTTAAAGTATGTTTTTATAATGTAACCTTCTCCACCTTGGTCAGTTTAAGGATAATTCATGCAGTTTTATAGTATTTATTTGAAAGAATTAAAACAGATTCATCATGTCTATCCTTGTATTATTCAGCTGGTTGAGATTGATATGGGATTTTGAAAGTAATTAAATACTTTTTAGAGAGAGTAATTAGTACAGTAATAATCTAATTACACTGTTGAAGAGGTAATTAGTAACTAGTAATTAATTAATTACTTTTTTAGAGTAACTTACCCAACACTGGTGAGAATGTGTGTGTGTGTGTGTGTGTGTCGCACCCGTGAGTGTGTGAGCCCAGTGTGTGTGCAGACAGATGAGGTCGTCGTGTCCTCCAGACGTGAGCCTGCGCTGGGACACGTGAAGGACACACTCCGCAGGAACTGGAACCGCACCGCTAACGACTGATGGAGAGACAGAACCACAGACCAATCACACACACACACACACACACTTCACTGTAATAAGAGTCGGAGAGATCCTGAGACATGAGAATCAATAACATGTTCAAGAACAAGGCTGCATTTATTTAATTAAAAAAAACATAATATTGTGAAATATTATTATAATATAAATCATCTATTCTCCATGTGAATATACAGTAAAGTGTCATTTATTCCTGAATTTATCATCATTACTCCAGTCTTCAGTCACATGATCCTTCACAAATCACTCTAATATGAGGATCTGATGATCAGTTATGATTATTATCAGTGTTATCTGGTGATCAGAAGAGACTTTCAAAAACATTCATATCTAGTTGTTGTTTTGGTGATTCTAATAAAACGCTTTAGAAAACCTGAACGAGAGAACGACGGGTGTGTGTAGAGCAGCGGCTCATGAGTTAAACACAATCATCATCATTTTCAGTGTCAGTTCCCACAGTGAACACACACACACACACACACACACCCGTGTTCATTAAAGCCTGTTCCATGCATAAATTAGAGGCGGTGATTAATGGTGTCACGAGCAGCTACAGGACCTGAAGGAGGACCCGTGAAGCTCGTGCACTTTCTCTTAATATCCACATGACATCATGTGTAATGGCGTTTGCATACATAACTCTTAAAGGTGCAGTGTGTAATATTCAGGAGGACCTGTATATCATATTCATAACTATCTTAAATAATGAAGCGTTGTGTGTTTATTAGCTTAGAATTAGGCTTGCCGCGATAGACGGTGTTGACGGTGTTACCGGTTTTAAGCCCCATCACCGGTGACATCACTTTCCCACCGTGACACCGCGATGTCTTGACTTTTTTTTTTTAAAGTATTCGTTTTTTGCTAAAATATTTATTTGAATTAATTAAAAATAATAATTTTCAATTATTTAGTTCTGAAGAGAGCATTATAATTAAAAATGAACTGCGCAACGCGTGCCGTCACGTCACAGATCAGCAAGCATCAGGATTCCATTTAGCACGTGTGAAGACGAGAACGAGTCAAATTACAGAAAAGCAAGATAATGGCGGAAGATTTGGTGTCAAAACGCAATGCAAAAGCGTTTTTTTATTTTTTTAATTTTATATTCGTCTCTTTTTAATTGGTTTTATCTCATTTAAACTTTGTGTAATTTATTTAGGCCTATTTTATTTTCTTATTCGTTAATAAACGTTTTATGGTTCTTATTTGTTTGGGCCCACATTTTGCCGATTTTCACTTTTTTCAGCCTATGCATGGGGTTATTTTTATTCGTTCGTTATGCTAATAAAAGTTCTGTCTATAAATAAAAGTTTTATTATCAGCGAGTTGTTTTTTTTGTCCATTCAAGCAATTGACGCTTATTTCGAAAGTGAAAGTATAACGCGCACGCATTTAAAAGCTATTTAACCCCCCCGCCCTGCCCTCCACGGTGACACCGGGATTACCGGTGTTGTCACACGTCGATTAACCGGTGGGAAATTTTCCTCACCGCGGCAACCCTACTTAGAATGAGGCGTTTCTCTCTACACACACCGCGAGTCCGCTTATATCCACATGTTTCTACGGTGGCCCTGAACGGTCAGTGTGTGGTTCTTCATGATAAGAAGCTGCTAAAGAACACTGACACACTGATGAACAAGTCACAATAACATTCGCAATAACATCGTGTTACTGAATAATCAAGTAAACCGAATTTCTTAATATATCTTTGTAAAAAACCTCATTGGTTAACTGGCTTTTCTGCCGTCTCAGACATCACTTCCTGTCGACCACTGTAACTTCTGTTGTGTGCAGTTCACAACCTCACCACTAGATGCTGCTAAAACTTACACACTGCACCTTTAAAGGGCCGGCAGCTGCTCTGATGTGTGTGTGTGTGTGTGTGTTTCTCACCTGTAGATGTTCGTGTTGTTGTCTGCGCTCTTCCTCCATCAGCGCCGTCACATGATCCTCCTGCACTGACGATGACCTCACTGAACACATAAGCAACAGTCACGGCGATCGACAGGTTTAACCTGCATTTGGTTTCACTTATTCCAATATTTATGTGGACAGAACTTTACAGCATTTACACGATATTTCCTCCATATAAGTTTGAGGGTTTGAATTTTTGGAGCTGAAGAATATAGTACAGTAGTACTGAAGTATTTTAGTTCTGTTTCTTTTACTCAATAGCAATAGGAAACATTTTTCAGACTTGTTTTTGTTACATAAAAAATTACATAAAAACTTTATCTGCCAATATATCGGTTATCGGCTTTTTATTAATCGTTGCCCAGCACAATGAATGAATCCATATATAATCTAAATAATCCATCTTTTTATGTGAGTTTATATTAGATTTATCAGCCAATACATCGGTTATCGGCTCAGAATTATCGGTATCGGCCATATCGGTGCATCTCTAACCTAAATATTTTCAATATTTATTTTTTATAAATTTTATTTATTTTCGAGATTTAATAATATCTATTTAGAAATGCCCAACCAGGGACAGGAGTTGTAAATTAGCATTAGCTATAAACTCTATATGCTGCACATCAGTTACAGGCTCTGTATTGTGACTATGTTTGATTGTATGGTCCCTGTTAAATAAATAAATAAATAAATAAATAATAAATAAACAAAACAACCACCTCACCAACTATTAATAAGCAATAATTAAGAGATTAATAAGAGATTATTGAGGCCAAAGTCACAGTTAACAAGGCTGCACCGACATCAACGTTTTGGCAGATGGCAACAACCGATAATTCTTTATTTTAAAAACCAGATAACCGATATATTGGCCGATAAATCTAAGATAAACTCACATAAAAATATGGATTATTTGGATTTATATATGGAATAATCAATTGTGTCATATTTTATGCGGGGAAACGATTAATCACAGTATACGCACAGTACACAGACACATTAACATTTTCTTTTGGAAACGCGATTAATTGACGCCAAGCACAAATGGATCATAATAATTGCATAAATATTCCTTAGTACCATAAAATACCCTCAAAATAAAAAAAAAATGATTCTGAACAAATAAGATAAAATCAAAAGTGTAAGTGTGTTCACCTCTAGGCGTGCTGGATCTGTCTCTTCCCGGAGAGAACGCTTCACACTCGTTCATCAGGAGCCTCCGTTTGACCTGAGACACGACCTCCTGACCTCTCGTCTCAGGGGTCAACTGCATCCACAGACTGGAGGGGGCGTCGACATCGTATGACGAGCCAATCAGAGAGCTCTCTGCTTCATCTGCGCTCGTTTTCCCAGAATGATTGAGGGCGCCTACGATTGAATGACTGGTTTGGATGGAGTTTGAGTTCTCTTGGCCAATCCCACAATCCTCTAGCCGGAGCGTTTGACTGACAGTGACCGTGGAGGGGTGTTTCTGTGAAAGCGTGAGCGTCGACTCCAGGTCTGAGATCAGCGCTTTAAGACTGGACAGGTTCAGCTCGAGCTGAGCGATCTGCTCCGTCTGCTCCGACATCATCCCAGCTTTATTCATCGAGATGTTGGGATCCGACTCGGACTCGCTCAGGGTTTTCCGAACCGGACCGGGAATCCCGCTGGATTTTTTGACGCAGCGTACGGGACTCAAGCAGAACTTGGGCGTCGGGATGTTAGTGAATCTCTTAGATCCGGAGATGCGGACCAGAGTCGGTTTGGAAGCGAACAAAGATTCGGATTTAACAGGAAGTGACGTAGACGTGGCCTTAGCGTGTTTGATCATGTGATCCGTGTTCTCCTTCCTCTTCTCCCTGGTTTTCCACGGTTCTGTCTTGCACGTGTGTTTGGGAAGGAGTTCCTCGTTCTCCTTATCGGACAGGCTGTGCTCGTCAGGCGTGGGTTTGAGCGCTCGGGCTTCACGCTGGCGCCGCCGGTACTCCTGGGATTTCTTCAGTAGGTTTTGAAGGCTCATTGGATACGGACCCTCATCCGGGTCAGATTGAGGGTTTTCCGGTTCTGTAACATTTTTTACCACCTCATTTTCCTCTAAAAATGCTCCATCTACTGGAGCGTGACTGATTATGTCACTTCCTGTAGAGTTTCGTTGTGCCGTATCCAAGTGGACGGCTCCTTCAATCCAGCTGGAATGACACGTGACATCAGTGTTGTCATTGGTCACGTACCCTGATGACATCATCATCATCATCTGGTCGTCAGGTGGGTCATGTGGTGTGTGCGTTTTGCATCCGACGCCCTGGCTGTTTTGCAGCGGATCGTTTTCATCCGGAAAAGCTCGCAGCTGATTGGCTGATCGGCCGGTTGACGTGAGGGGAGCGGATGTGATGATGTCATCACTCTTGTGCGCGTGTCGTTCAGCATCACTGAGCCTCATGTCGGTGAACTGAAACACAGGGGGAGAGCATAAGATAAATATAAGATGAATATTTATTTTTCTCAAACTTTGTTGCTCTATTTTAAGCTGCATATAAAAGTAACTTGACTTTTAATAACATGTTAGAAAAGTATCAAATTACAGTAAGATGAATTTGAATAAACTATGAAACAATGTTCACAAATCATTTTATTTGGAAGATGAATTAAAGGTGCAGTAAGCAATTTCTGAGCACCAGAACACACTTGCAGCCAATCAGCAGTAAAGGGCGTGTCCACTCATTAGGGGGCGGTGCCTATGTTGGGGGCGAGCTATAAGGATAGGGGCGTGTCTGTTTTGGTGATTTCAAATGTCAAATGTGCTTGCCAAAAATTGCTTGCTGCCTCTGGCACTCTCCGCATGTCGGTCAAAAATTACAGATTTTTTAAATGAATTTTTATGAAAAGAATTTACTATCTTTTAGATTTTATATTTTACTATATTTTAGTTTTTTTATATCATTTTAGAGCACAGACTTAAGGTCCTTACACACGGAGTCCGACATTTTCATAAGCGTTTTTCGGTGTCTCTGAATTGTCAAAACACCATTCAAACAGCTTGCTACAGATGAGAAAAACAATCTGTTTTTTTTTTTTATGACGGACAAACGTTTCGGAGGCAGTGTGCAGGGGTGATTGACATAATGTGAGGTTGTATTTATTTTTTAACGTACGTAAATTTCAGACTCAGTGGGCAAGGGCTTTTAAGTTTAGTTTTAAAAAGTTAACTTAAAAAAGTTACAGAATTTTACAATTATTGTTATGAAAAATGGAAAAAAATGAAAAATACATTTTTAAAAACGTGTTTTAAAATCAAAGTCATAAATCTAAACAAGTTCTGTTCCAAATTTGAGTTTGACATCTCAAAAAAATGAGCGTCCGTTCAGTGAGAGAGTTCGGCTGCAGTTCCAGTCTCTTCCACTAGAGGAACTTCGTCTCCTGCTCATTTCCAATGCACTATTTCTGGCCGCGAGGAGCACAAGTGTGACTGTTGTTTACAGGACCATTAAACCTGTTCCAATCATGTCCATGATATTTTTTGTGTTCACACAGCAAGTGCCAAAACCTTTACCAAGTTACCGTTACCAAGTGTCGTAAATAAAACAATCAATCAAAAATGGCCGAAGAGCACCAGAGGGTTAAGAAAGTAAATAGAGGAAAATTCTGATGTATGATTTCTAGATTGAAACTTTAATAAAAAAGCAGCATACATAAACCATTATATATAATTTATTAGCCATTAAATACCGTAAACATAATCAGTATCAGGTCAACATTTCTAAGAAGTGTGTGTGTGAAACTCACGCTGATTTGAGACTCTTCCTCGCTCCTCCTCTTCATCAAACTCATGGCTGCTTCTCGCAGTCGTCTCATCTCGTCTCTCTGCTGCTCATTCAGCTGACAAACACACACACACACATTAATATATTAAATTCACATGTATGTGTAGCACTTTTCACAATACACATAATTTCAAAGCAGCTTTACAGAAAGTGCACGAGTCCATATTACAATTTACAATGATCTATTATCAGATGAAACTGTCTAAGTTATGTATTTCAGAAATGTATACAAAATTACAGAAACCTAAAAATGTATTAATTATTAATACAATGTAATAATTTAAGGCGTGTGTGTGTGTGTGTGTGTGTGTGTGTGTGTAATGAAAGGATCTGAATGTGATGAAGAAACTCATACCAGAGGAGGGAGAACACGAGCTCCATGAAACACAATCACTGACGAGGGTTTCTGCGAGTCTTCATCATCATCATCATTATTATAATGACTGTTATAAAGTCTCTGAATAAAATCCTCATAACTCTCCATGACTGAAACACAGCGGACACTATCACATCATGAAACTAAACAGACTCAGCTCTGCTCATAAATACGGATAAAATCTCCTAAAGTACACTATATAAATGACCAAACAGCTTTGTTAAAGTTTATAACCACATAAAGCAGAGATATTAAAGGTAAACCATATTTGTAAGCGTTTTACCTTGGTGTGTGAAGTTAAATCTTTATCGGCATGTTTGTTTACACTCGACCTCTTCCGCTCACGGCAACGGCCGTTAAAACTGGACTGGATTTTCTCAAATTTTGGATCAGGACTGACAAAAGCAGCGTCTGTTTAAATCTAAACAACATTTCAACGTATGACCAGGTATGACTTACAGATCACGTTTATTATTTAGCTATTATTCTATTTCAGATTTCGGATGTGTCAGTAAAAAAATAATTTTATCACCACGCTGGAGAATTAAATCCAGACCGCGTTTACCATACGTGCCGATGCGCGCGCTATTCAAGCGCTCGTGTTAGCGGGAAAGAGGCTCTACTGCCCCCTGGAGACCCGGATGAGTGGATGCCGACATTATTACAGCAGAACAAAAGATTGAACAAACAAAGCCAGTTTCATAATCAGAAGTTATTACTGGATATATCAGTCTGTATAAATCAGTGTGTCTCAGATTGAAATGAGCAAAATTAAAACGTTATTCTATAAAATTGTGATTTCACATTTACGATATTTTCATATTTTTCACCTCAAAAAGATAATGCCAAATCAGTCACAGTATAAATAAATCATAAGCGATCTAATACTGACTCATCACCAGCCAAGATTCAGATATTATAATGCTTTATCTAAAATCAGTCAAAAATCTGATAAGCTAAAATGAAAATGTGTTGTAATAACAATTTGTAAATATTCATCTAGTACATCAGTCGACAAAATATTCGTAGAAAAATGAGTAAATGTTCACTCTTGAATTCACTCATGTTTTCTATGTTCTGAAGTAACATAAAAAAAGCGAACATCTCAGTTAAAAATATACCATAGATGACATCATCTTTTTGTGCAAACATTAATAAAAGTCGGATACAGGAAGAACTTTTGCGTATAACTGGATTAATTATCATGGCCTGGAAATCAAAAACCTTTTTAGTACTTGCCGATTATTAATCGCATCCAAAATAAAAGTTTGTGTTTACATATGTGTGTGCTGTGTATTATTATTTTGTATTTATAGCCTACACAGATATCCATGTATTTAAGAAATATTTGTATCTACGTATATACTGAACATATATATAGTTATAGGCCTACATAATCTATATTATATATAAACATTATAAATAACACATTGTTCTTAAAAATATCCATGCAAGTGTGGGTATTTATATATACAAAATAATTATACACAGCACACACACATATATTATTTAAACACAAACTTTTATTTTGGATGTGATTAATCGTTGTCCAGCACTAAATAAAAATATGCACATTATACCATCAAAACATTAGCCGAATAAACTGATTTATCGTCACAATTGTGAACCAAAAAATTTGCATTAATTCAGCAAGTGTTCATTTCTCACGAGAGCAACGCCAGTGATGAAGAGGAGAGTCAGTCCAGAGAGGAAGTGACATCATCAGTAAACACAGATCTGTCTAATGTCGTCCCTCATGAGTCTGTCATGTTTTACTAATGTCAGGCCAGAAATACCCCCGCCGAGAGCTGATCAAACTAGGTCATCTACCTCTCTCTCTCTCTCTCGTTTCAGGGTCCAGGGAAAAAAAATAAAAAAATAAAATCTGGCGATGCTATTCATGGCACACCTAAAAAAAAAAAAAGGATTTAATTCAGGAATATTTCTTATGCATGTTCAATTAGGTCATTCAACGACAACGAGACAAATGAAGCAAATCCTCACAAAGCAGGTGTTTTTCAAAATGTATTTATTAGTCATATACAAAATAAAGTAAGCTGTATATCAACAAACATACAGTATATACATCAATAAATTAAAGGACGCCCCAGACTGACTGATACAGTTAATTTCATCATTATATACCAATACATTATATTCCTTATCTACAAATTGCAAAAAGTACAATAACTTAGTTGATAAATACTTACAATTAAATGGACTTTCACGGTATCTATATTTCCCATAAGAACTATATCTTAAATTGAACACACCCCATACAGAAAAACAAGGTTTCTTTTTAGAAACAAAAAATCCATCGTAATAAACTCACAGCAATTTATAGCTTGACATTTCTGACCGTTTACATCAGATACTGTACGAGTCGCTGAAAGGGGAAATCCAATATTAGGAAGCTCAAGTGCGTTTAAAATCACTCGTCGAGAGCGTTCGTTTGCCAGTAATAGTGCTGAGAAGATACAGGGAGAAGTCAGCTTAACAAAAATAAACAATTAGTTAATGATTGAAACCTTTCCGTAACAGCAAACGGGAGAAATTAACGCTTTGAGGATTTGGACTAATTTTTCTTCCACCTGAAATGAAACGCGCGTGTCCCATGAGGCCCTGCGGCCGAGACACACATCAGGCCGAGACAAGAGCGAATAAAAGTCAAGATAATGTGGAGTGTGAGAGTTTGCAGGAGAAGTAGGACAACGCTGTGGATGTACAGGTAGAGCAGGCTTTACCCAGCAACAGGCCGGAGTCTCTGACCGCCACACACACACACACACACACACACACACACACGACTCGCTCTGCAACCGGATTTACCCTCATCCTTCCCTCGCGACGCGACAAGATCCGAAGACCTACAATTACACTTATTGCTATTTATTTTGTCCAAAATGATTATTTTATTTCATTTTGATAATATTGTTTCTATTTTTTAATGCATTTTTTTGGGAGATTTATCGTTATTTTTATTATGGAATTTACATTTAAATTACTAGTCTGATCAATAAATAATAAATAAATAGTAATTTAAGCACATTCCTCACAACTTATTCAAAATAACTCACTATTCATTCATAACCCTTTTAATTCAGCTCGAAATATCTTACATGAGTGTCTATATATATATATATATACTGTATATATATATATATATATATATATATATATATATATTATATAGACCATTTTGCAAGATGTAAACAACACTGGTCCAGAAACACTTCCTGTTTCAGTTTGTAACTGTTTTCTTTATTTCACATGTAAAGAAAACATCTTAAAGATGTTTGTTTAACTTTTTGATTCAGTTTTATATGTTCTGTTGGTTGTATTTTATCCCAGCTTTTATGTAGTGTTATAAAACTGAAACAGGAAGTGCTTCTGGACCAGTGTTGTTTACATCTTGATGGGCTTATATCTCTATATGAGCAGAGGAGCTGTTCCGCTGGGCCCTAAAACCAGTTTAGCTTCAGTGTGCGTTCAGATACACATGTAGACATTATACAATAATTTTTTGGTAAAGTTTTAGCATTTTAGTTTGAATTTTGAGCATTTTTAGGTTTTCTATGTGAACTAAAGCATTCCTCGGATTTCATTCATTCCTAAGGGGGTGAGTTTTTAAAATTTCGACCGCAAACCTCCTCGAATCCGTTCACTTTTTCGTGTGTACTCGTGGTTCAACTGCGAAAAAAGCCCTATAGGATCTGATGAACACTCAGTTTTAAAAGTGTTTTAAAATGACCTGAGGGAAGGATGATTAAATAGATTCTAACGTGTGTGTGTGTGTGTGTGTGTGTGTGTTTTGGCTACAAACAGGGTTGTCTTACTTCACTGTGAGGAAGTGAATGGCCTCCTGGGACACGGCACTGTTTCTAACAGGGAGGGAAAAAAAGAGAATATAGAGGTTTAAAACTCAGTTGTAAAGCCCTTATTGGGTAAATCTAGACGGCGACCCCTTTCTTTTTTTGCAGAAATGTTGCGCTTTTACGGACGACAACTTCAAGGACAGAAATCTAAACTCCTACCGAGAGGTCGTGACGTGACCCCTCCCTACCACCAGCTGATTTGCATATAGGATCACAAGTCACCACGACGACCATAACGACAACAAGCCACTCCTCCTGGAAGAGAGATCGGAGAACGTCATTATTGGGCAGTAGTGCTACCTGACACACGAACACTTCAACGAAAACCACATCATTATCATCATCATCATCGTCATCGTTTGCGAAGTACGCGAGAGAATTTTTTTAGTCTTCAAAACCGCCTATACAATGCCGGACACGCCACAAAACCGCTACCATTGGTTACGAAAGCAATGCCGAGATGGAGCAAAGACTTTGTTACAAAACGATTTCACAGATTAGCCAGTCAGAGGAAGTTATTTCTGTTGATTTACATCGATTAAATAAATAAAAAAAACTGTCGTACAAATATACCTATACCATTCTTAAAATGCCAGATCAGTGCGGCAGGACCGGGTGAAACCACGACTATATCATCAGAGAGAAGTTTAAAGCTTGTGATGTGGCCTTCTGTCATAAGATTAGACTAAACAATCTAGTGATAAGCGTTAATACTGCGTTCACATCATATCGCAATTACTGACGATACCGAGAAGTACAAACCGTTCTTTATATCTTTCCAAACGTTTCTGCAAATGTGGCGTTAAAGCTTCACATCACAATTCTGAATTGACAACTAAACAAAATAACATGTGATTCACTAGAGCTTCTGACAACATGTTAATTGCTGCAGACTATTTAAAAAAGTTTTTTTGAATGAATGATTCAATGACTCATTACCCATTCTGGAAAATCAGCGATCGGTATCGGCAGATATCATTCTGGATAATCGGCTATCGGCAGATATCATTCTGAATAATCGGCTATCGGTATCGGCAGATATCATTCTGAATAATCGGCTATCGGTATCGGCAGATATCATTCTGAATAATCGGCTATCGGTATCGGCAGATATCATTCTGGATAATCAGCGATCGGTATCGGCAGATATCATTCTGGATAATCGGCTATCGGTATCAGCAGATATCATTCTGAATAATCGGCTACCGGTATCGGCAGATATCATACCGAATAATCGGCTATCGGTATCGGCAGATATCATTCTGAATAAGCGGCTATCGGTATCGGCAGATATCATTCTGAATAATCGGCTATCGGTATCGGCAGATATCATTCTGAATAATCGGCTATCGGTATCGGCAGATATCATTCTGAATAATCGGCTATCGGTATCGGCAGATATCATTCTGAATAATCGGCTATCGGTATCGGCAGATATCATTCTGAATAATCGGCTATCGGTATCGGCAGATATCATTCTGAATAATCGGCTATCGGTATCGGCAGATATCATTCTGAATAATCGGCTATCGGCAGATATCATTCTGAATAATCGGCTATCAGCAGATATCATTCTGAATAATCGGCTATCGGCAGATATCATTCTGAATAATCGGCTATCGGCAGATATCATTCTGAATAATCGGCTATCGGCAGATATCATTCTGAATAATCGGCTATCGGTATCGGCAGATATCATTCTGAATAATCGGCTATCGGTATCGGCAGATATCATTCTGAATAATCGGCTATCGGTATCGGCAGATATCATTCTGAATAATCAGCTATCGGTATCGGCAGATATCATACCGAATAATCGGCTATCGGTATCGGCAGATATCATTCTGAATAATCGGCTATCGGCAGATATTATTCTGAATAATCGGCTATCGGTATCGGCATTCGGCAGAAATCATTCTGAATAATCGGCTATCGGTATCGGCAGATATCATTCTGAATAATCGGCTATCGTATCGGCAGATATCATTCTGAATAATCAGCTATCGGTATCGGCAGATATCATTCTGAATAATCGGCTATCGGTATCGGCAGATATCATTCTGAATAATCGGCTATCGGTATCGGCAGATATTATTCTGAATAATCGGCTATCGGTATCGGCAGAAATCATTCTGAATAATCGGCTATCGGTATCGGCAGAAATCATTCTGAATAATCGGCTATCGGTATCGGCAGAAATCATTCTGAATAATCGGCTATCGGTATCGGCAGATATCATTCTGAATAATCGGCTATCGGTATCGGCAGATATCATTCTGGATAATCGGCTATCGTATCGGCAGATATCATTCTGAATAATAGGCTATCGGTATCGGTGGATATCATTCTGAATAATCGCTATCGGTATCGGCAGATATCATTCTGAATAATCGCTATCGGTAGATATTCTGAATAATCGGCTATTGTTGGATATTCTTAATAATCGGCTTTCGGTATCGCAGAGAAATTTAGCATCGTGCATCTCTAATAATGACAGTACAGACATGAACGCAGCATTACAACATATCTGAGTTTTACATCTTTTCCTAATGGAGAAATTATTTGGGCAAAAAAAAGAGAATAATGGGGATAGAGACGGATCTTTCTTTGTTTTAAAGGTTGAGAAAATAAATAATTTGAGCAGCTTTGCATTACTGAAGGGCAACCGTACATCACATCGCTTGTTTAAATCAGTGCGTTTTAAGGAGTCACTTCCCTGGCATTTAAAGAAAACAACAGAAAAAAGAAGAAGAAAACAACAACAAATATACCATAGAAATGTATTACACCAAAAATATATAAAAATCACACGTCACATAAAAAGGACTCAAACACAGGCGATACGGCCACTTCCCCTCCTCAGTTTGTGTCCCGTCCACTTAAACATGGAACACACAAACCGCATACAAACTATTGCAGGGATTCTGGGTAAGCAGCGCTCGTCGCCTGCGTTGAGCTGAAATCAGAAGATAAGAGCATCACATCCACGTCGTAAACAACACCGCCACCTCACCAGTACAAATCACACCACACGCGCTAGTCCACAGTTTTACGCGCCTAGTCACTAGAAAAAGCTATTGACTTCAATAGTTAAGCCACTTTTGGTACAATTGCAAAAAAGAGAGCTATCAAACAACTTTAGAATTCTTTTTTTAAATGTTTTATAAATAATGCAAGATACTCTGTCATTTTTTATATATATAAAATTCAAGACTCCACCATATAGACAAAGATTCTTAGAATACGTTACGCAAATGTCACAGCAACAAAGTTATGGTAAAGCTTGTGAGATTTCACCAGTTTATGTCTTTCAGACAGTCTTTCAAAAACAGAAACTTTTTCTGTGTTTGTTTTCATTCTTAGTTAAACAAACAAAAAAAAAACTGGCACAGGAAAAAAATAAATAAATCTACAAACAACGAGAGACATTTTAACCTCCGCTGTGAAGGTCACGCAACATGAAATAAGCAGTGCACCACAACCAACTGACAAGAGAAGGTCACACAAAGCAAACAAAACCTCATTTAACGTCGCACAACATAAACATGTTATTGCCTTGCCGATAAAAATGATCTCCTGTCTTGAAACAGACGGCTGGAGCACATAAACTGGTGGCAATATTCTGATAGCTACCATATGAACAACATTAGCTGATTTGACTCCGCCTCCACTCCTCCTGCCCATCAGTGATTGGTCAGTGCATATATTAGGCTCAGGTAAAGGGAGTTCCTCATTGGCTGATACTCTCTCCTTCAGTTCCAGACGGTGGAAGAGTTTGGAAGTCTGAACGGTTTAAAGTGTTTTGTGCCTGCAGTCCGTAAACAAAAGGACGGAAAAATGGCGAAACAGTAGATATCCAAAAAGAGAACAAAAAACACAACGCTGTATAAAAAGTACATTTCCAACAACATAAAACACTGAATGATCACACATCAATAAAACACTTGGACCCCATGTGAAAAACACAATACGAAGTCGCCAATATTTGTACAAAAAATTACAAATCTCACAGCAATATCACACACAATCCACCAGGAAAAATTTGGCTGCATGTTTTTTTTTAGACTTAAGTAATTTGGAGATTTTCGTTTTTTGGAAGCCCAAGTGAATAAACCGTCCTAGATGTGCTTTCACGCTTTTTGTAAGCCACATTAGAGAGCATCGCAGCGAGAACCGTTTTTCATCAGTCTGTCTGAAACGGAGAAGAGGACGGCGCGTCCCGCACCTAAACCCTCATGCACTGACCAACCCTTCGTCTGCGTGCGTACTAAGACCTCGCGTCGGTTTTCGATTTGACTATCGTGATAACACTCGTGGCTCCCACCTTTCCGGGAACGAGGGGCCCGATGACGGAGGCCAAGTGCCCGCGGTGGGATACGGGCGCCGTAGACACGGGCCCTCGCGCCACAGTTCTGGCGAAGCTCTGGAGAGCCTCGTATTTGGAGCGAAGCGCGTCCAGCTCCACTTTCATACTGGCGTTCTCCGAAGCCAGTTTCTCCACCTCCTGCTGAAGCTCCGCCTTCTGCCTCTCGAGCTCCTCCTTCTGAGTGACGCGCTTGACGCGACAGCTAGCGGCGTAGCCTCGGTTCTTCAGCGTGCGCCGGCGCTGCTTCAGCTGCAGGATCTCTTCTTTGGACAGGCCGCGCAGGTGCTGGTTGAGCTCGCGGACCGACATGGACACCAGCTCATCGTCCGTCAGACTCGTCCCGTTCTCGCCGGGCTCCCTCTTCACCTGAGGAAGAACAATGGGAAACATTAAAGGTGCAGTGTGTAAGATTTAGCGCCATCCAGTGGTGAGGATGCAAACTGCAACCAATAGAAGTTACGCCAGCCGAAAGGAAGTGATGTCGTCGTTGTCTGAGACAGCAAACGTTTAAACAATGAGGTTTGTTTACAAAGATAAATTAAGAAATTAGGTTTACTTGATTATTCCGTAAAACCATACGTTATTCTTGTTACTTGTTCATCAATGTTTTATTCGCTGACTTTAGCTAGCTTGCATTTATATAAATAAATAATCCATAGGAAAAATATATTGCTAAAGTTTATATATATATATAACATGGTTTTAATCAATATATAATTAAACAATAAAAATGGAATTTAGAAAAACTGAAAGATTTTCTGGAAAAAAATAAAACTATTGTCATTTAATAAATTATTAAATTGCAAAAAAAAATTCATTTCAAAATTCATAAAAAATGATATATATATATTTGTATTATAATCTAATAAATATAGTATATCATCTTGTAAATATATTCTATAATTATATTAAAAATGTAACTAGAAATTATTTGATTATCAAACTTTGATTTAATTTACTTATAATTAAATGTAATACAGAAAAAAATAAAACAGAAAATACAGAATTTCAGAAAATATTTAAACTATTGACTGATATGTAATTTTTAAATTACATTATTTAAAAATTTGATTTGTATATTTAAATATATATATATATATATATATATATATATATATATATATGTATGTGAAGAGTTCAGATATATATCCTCTAAATGCCATTTGAAATTTTTTTCTTGAATGATGATTTTTATCAAACTTGTATATTTAAGTTCAGTAATTTCACTTAAATAACAATTAATAGGTAATTATCATTGCCATTTAAGTGAAATCACTGAACTTAAATATACAAGCTTGATAAAAATCATCATTCTAGAAGAAAATTTCAAATGGCACTTAGAGGCTTTTGCATCTGAACTCTTCATATATATATATATATATATATATATATATATATATATTAGATTATACATCTAAAAATGTAATTAGACATTATTTTTGATTATTAAAATGTAAAAAATCATTAAAATGGAATCCAAAAATATTTAATCAGAAAACACAAAACTCGATTGATTAGACATGTTTTTGGTTCATTAAAATGGACTCAGTCCGAGGGAAAGAGAGCGCTCACCTTCAAGGCCTTGTTTCCTTTGCTAGTGGTCGTCATGCCACGAGGAACGCCAGCCACGCCACGCAGATCTACAAAACACACACGCGTTAGTCGTGCAGCATGGGCATCCACAACATGTGACGTCCAGCGAGGGACCAGAGCTGTGTGTGTGTGTGTGTGTGTGTGTGAGATGCTTATGACGAGAAACAGAAAGCAAAACCGTTCTGAATGAAACGTGGAAGAAAACAAACTGGACTAGAGAAAGTGATCAGTGTGAACCCACGACTTCCTGTTTCTGACTTCCTGTGTGGTTGAGGCGGTTGGGAGCGTAATGTTCCACGACCCGCGAGACGAGGAGAGCACTGATGCAGGAGTGTGTTTCGGGTCCGAGGGCGAGAGAGAGAGAGAGAGAGGAGAACGGGATCACTTCCACAGAACCAACACTAATGAACGACAGTCAGACCCGTCAAACACTGATCTGACACCTGTCAATCACACAGCAGGAGAATCACAACACTAGCAAATGAGGAGAGAAACCCTGATGAGATCACACACACACTCACTCTCTCTCACACACACACACACACACACTCACTCACTCTCTCTCACACACACACAAACGTCTTCAATGACTCCCATTGAGGCGTTTGGAGACACTATGTGATGAAGGGTTGTCGTTGTTCCTGCCGCCCAGAGGCATCATGGGATACAGCGAGCGTGATTCTGCACATTCCTACACACACACATCGTCAACAAACTCGCACACATCTCATCATTAGAAACTACTATCAACACACTCTCTCTCACACACAACACGACTCAAACACACATTTCCTTCGTATGAAAAATCAGAAAGAATAATAATATCACGTTTACAGGACATGTGATTGTGTTTCATGACCCTTTAGATATGTATTTAATGCTCGCTCTATCAATCAATTCACTTTTTTCCAATTTAAAAATCACATTTTAATTCAATTGTAGCTAATAAAATCATATCGAATGAACTGAATTAAAACTTTAACATTGTTGTGCCTTATGAAATACTTCTGCCATTTAAAATTCAGTTTTAATTCAATTCTAGTCATCAAAATCATATCAAATCAACTGAATTCATAAAACTTCAAAATGTAATCAATATTTGTACCTTATGAAATCGGTTTTAACTCCATTTTTCCAATAACATTTTTCTGGATTCAGTTTTAATTCCCATCTAGTCATTCAAATTAAAGCAAAATCACTTATGCCACATGATTGTGTTTATTTTCTGAGCTGCACAACAGCAGAAACGAAAGCATTGTGTAAAAGCAGAACACATCGTTAAAGTCGTCAGTCGAAACAACAGCAAAGCCCTCGTTCTGAAGGAGACCCGCATAAATTAGCCTTCGTTATTTAAGTAATTAGACTAAAAATAAATAAACCCTGTGCTGACCTGACTAAATGACTAGTTACCCATCCTGACCCACCCCTAATGTGTGTGTGTGTGTGTGTCTGGGATTTCCTGGAAGTTGATTTGGAGAGAATCCTTCTACCAGTGATGAGACAGACGGGCTCAGAGAGAGAGAGAGAGAGAGAGAGAGAGAGAGAGAGAGAGAGAGAGAGATAGTGGATCTTCTGGCACCGTCATGAATCTTGAAGTTATGAATAGAATCGCATGAAGTCACAACATCAGCAGGGGAAGCTATGCGACTCTCTCTCTCTCTCTCTCTCTCTCTCTCTCTCTCTCTCACACACACACACACACACATTTACTTAGCTATCTAAATGAGGACATTCCATAGACGTAATGGTGTTTATACTGTACAAACTGTATATGAAGAGTTCAGATGCAAAAGCCTCTAAATGCCATTTGAAATTTTCATCTTTAATGATGATTTGTATCAAACTTGTATATTTAAGTTCAGTAATTTCACTTAAATAACAATTAATAGGTAATTATCGTTGCCATTTAAGTGAAATTACTGAACTTAAATATACAAGCTTGATAAAAATCATCATTAAAGAAGAAAATTTCAAATGGCATTTAGAGGCTTTTGCATCTGAACTCTTCATATACTCTCCTCTTACACTAACTCTACCCATCACACACACACACACACACAAACCCTGAGAGAGTGTGTAGAGTGATCTCGCCCTCATCATTAAAGAGCTTCAGATATTCTAGACATGGACGAAAGCAGAGTCTAAAATTAACAACGAACCATCGCTAATAAACGACTTCACATTGTTTCACTGAAGGATGAAATAGAATTTCAGAATTTCAATTTCATTTCATCCATTTATTCCTATTTAATTTTGTATTAAATTTCAATTAAAATCAATTAAATTTGTCATAAAAAATAAATCATAAATGAAATCAATTGAGCTCATAAAAACTTTTCCCCGAATTTGAAATTACATTTTTGTCATAAAAAAATAAATCAAATCAACTTTACTCGAAAAACAGTAACACTTTACAATAACACTGATTTCACAGGACACAGAGATTGATTCAAACGTTCTGGAATACATTTGAATGATTCGTGAGCACGGCTTTAAATACGCGTGTGTGTGTGTGTGTGTGTGTGTGTGTGTGTGTGTCTCAGACGGACGAAGGGCGTCTGAAGTTCCTCAGAGGACACACAGGTTAATATAACGACACACACACTCTGTTTAATATTCATCTGAGAGGAGAGGACACCCGCTGCTGGACGCACAAAACACATTAGCTCTGATAAAGGACTTACGCTGTCCTCTGAGTGCGTGTGTGTGTGTGTGTGTGTGTGTGTGGAGGGCTGCTGTTGCCGTGGTAATGAGGGATTCTTCCTCACTGACCCAAAGAACAAAAAAGACAGAAAAGTTTTCAGGATCAGATCACACACACACACACACACACACACACGCTGTCGGTCATCCCAATACTTTACAAACTGTAGTCATTCATTAAATCCCTTAAAACTCATCTTTGATCACCAAAATTACATTTAAATATTTTTTTCTTCTTCATGTCTTAAAATATTTTGAATGCAACTCGACACCCTCGCCTCATTTAGTATGCAAGGTTCTATGAATATGCGAATGAGCCCCGCCTCCACTCACTCCATTGTTTGACGATCACACGTTGATCTGATTGGTTACAAGGTCGTTTGTGACGTCAGAAACACCAAAAGCGTGTTTTTGAGTTTTAAGGTGAAAATACTCAGCAATGCTGTCCACGTATTGAGTTTTACTAATATCAATATTGTTTTTAATGATCATTGCTGATGCCAAGTTGACAACCATGACTAATGTAAAAAAAAAATATATACAACATATGTTTTAAATCACTCATTTTTAAACCACGATACTTAGAAACTAGGGCTGTCAAACGATTAATCGCATCCAAAATAAAAGTTTGTGTTTACATAATATATGTGGGTGCACTGTGTATAATTATTTTGTATATATTATGAATACACACATGCATGTATATTTAAGAATTTTTTTATTTATATATTAAATACTGATATTTATTTATAATGTAAATTAAATATAAATCTATATACATGAAAATATTACAAGCATGTGTGTGTATTTATATATATATATAATAATTATACACAGTGCCCCCACATATATTATGTAAACACAAACTTTTATTTTGGATGCGATTAATCGTTTCACAGCCCTATTAGAAACGCATGCAAATTCTAAGCAAAAATCTCTAAAATAATCTCTACCGGTCTATCGCCCACCCATAATGCCGTGCAGTTTCAGACAAACTTCAGTCAAAAACCACCACAGATGCAGAACTGGTGAGAGAGAGGAGGAGGGATGCAGAAAGGCAGGTGTGGAGCGGGCGAGCGATGCAGGGGTTGCTGGGATCTCTCGTCAGAACTGCCTCCTCGACACATTAGTGGAGCTTAGAGGAGGATGCTGGGATTGGGGTCGAAAACGCCTGAACTCAGCAGCCGGCGCACGCAAACCTGTGATCACACACACACTCCTGCAGCGAGAGCGCCAGAACACAGAACATACACACACACACACCAGTGGCGCTGTAATGCTGATGATGCGCTTCAGACATCAAGACTTTCAAATCTCTCATTACATTTCACTGTTCTTACATTTATTCAGCAAAATAAACAAGTTATGAGACTGATTTATTATTGTTGATTTATCTGATTTCATTAAACATGTTGAATCTATTCTGTTGGCTGAAACGAAAATTGTAATAAATAAGTATATTTGTTAAAGGAAGCATCATTTCAATGGAAATTGTTTCATGAAATCTAATTAAACTAAACAAGCATTATAAAACTGTCAATAAATCATCAAATTAAAATATTTATATACACACAATTATTATATTTTCCATTAAATACAATAAGAAACACAAAGCAAATAAATAGGTTTCGCTTACAATAAGCTCCTATAAAGTTATTATCATTAGTAAATGCATTAACGAACAATGAGCAATGCATTTGTTATAGTACTTATTATCAGCTCAGGTCAGATATTTTAAAAATCTATTAAAAAATGTTAAAATGAACATTAAGTAAGTGCTTTAGAACTATTTATAATTGTTAGTTCATGTTGACTGATGTTTTTAAATAAATGTAAACATGTTACCTAAAAATCAATCATTAAAAGTGTGAAAACTATGGAAAATATATGTGTGTGTGTGTGTGTCTGTGTGTGTACACGATGGTTGGTGAGAAACTGGGTCTCCGTCTCGACCTACTTCTGTGTGAAGGTTGATGTTAAGTTCGGGTCTGGAACGCCATGATTGTCTGCGGGTGTGAGGGTGTGTGTGTGTGTGTGTGTCACATGAGCGACGCACCAGTCTGAGATTCAAGGAAACAGATTTACAGGTGAGTAAAGGTGTGTGTGTGTGTGTGTGGGGCCTTTCCCCGAAGTTCATCCAGTTTTAGAATCGTTAATCCTGTGTAAACGCTCTTGTGTGCAACACGGAAAGTGTTTTGATGAATACACGCGCTCACACACACACACCCCTACCCATAAACCAACATGTGCATAACACTAGATGTAAATAAAACACGCTCTGTTAGGGATGGGCAACGATTAATCGCGATTAATCGCATCCAAAATAAAAGTTTGTGTTTACATT